ATTTCCTATTCAAAATAATGGGAAATAGATCTCCAGTCAGTGTTTCAGCATGAAACAATGGATTTTCAGGATGGGTTACTGATGTTAAGTGGGAGATGTCTTGTAACTAGAAAAAACAATTTTAGAAAGTGATTAAAAAAAACTTAAATATTTGCAAACTAAATATTAAATATTTGTACATTAAGAAACACTCTCCCATCAAACAGACAAGAAATAACAAGTGTTGGTGAGGATGTGGAGAAAAGGAACCCTTCTGCACTGTTGGTGGGAATGTAAATTGGTGCAGCCACTATGGAAAACAGTATGAAGGTTCCTCAGAAAACTAAAAATAGAACCATCATATGATCTGAAGGAAACAAAAACACTGACTCGAAAACATACCTACGCCCCATGTTCACTGCAGCGTTACTCACAACAGGCAAGGGGAGGAACCAACCTGTGTGCATTGATGGATGAGTGGATAAAGAAATGTGGTACATACACATGCAATGGAATGTTATTCTGCCATAAGAAAGAAGGAAATCTTGCCAGTTGAGACAACACGGATGGAGCTTTACGGCATTAGGCTAAATGAAATAAGTCAGACAGAGAAAGACAAATACCATATGATTTCACTGGTATGTGGAATCTAAAAAAACAAAAAACAAAACAAAACAACAAACAAAAAAGCAAGCTCATAGATACAGAGAATAGATTGGTGGTTACCAGAACTGGGGGATGGGAGGGTAGGTGAAACGGGTGAAGGTGGTCAAAAGGTACAAACTTCCAGCTATAGGATAAGTAAGTCCTGGGGATGTAATTTACAGCATGGTGACTACAGCTAATAATACTGTATTGTATATTTAAAAGTTGCTAAGAGGGGCTGGCCCAGTGGTGTAGTGGTTAACTGTGCGTGTTCTGCTTGGTGGCCTGGGGTTCACAGGTCTGGAGCTCAGGTGTGGACCTGCACACTGCTCATCAAGCCATGCTGTGGTGGTGACCCACATAAAATAGAGGAAGATTGGCACAGATGTTAGCTCAGTGACAACCCTCCTCATGCAAAAAGAGGAAGATTGGCAACAGATGTTAGCCAGGGCCAATCCTCCTCACACACATACACAAAACAGTTGCTAAGAGAGTAGATCTTAAAAGTTCTAATCACAAGAAAAAAAATTGTGACTACATGAGGTGAGGCACGTTAACTAATTTATTGTGATCATTTCACAATAATACAAATATCAAATCATTATGTTGTACAACTGAAACTAATATATACCAACTATATCTCAATTAAAAAAAGAGAGAGAAAACCCCACTTTCCTAGAAAACCTTTGGAATGGAAGAAAAATCACTACGTAGAAGCCAATGACGATGAAAGGAAAAAAATCCAGAAAGACAAAGAGAAAAAACAGAAGAAAAGAAGAAAGGAAAGGGGGACGAAGAAAAAGAAAGAAAGAAGCAATAGAAGCAAGTGATGTGTAAGTGGAGAAAGTGAGTTCGGTTTGGGTGATCTGCAACCATGGACAACAGCAGACAGGCCTCTGCGATTCCCCAGGGAGATGCCACACAGATGCAGCGACTCAGGAAGTCCACATCCAGGAATCTTTTTTTCTTTAAAGAAAAAGGTTCAGAGTTTTATTTTTTCCAAGATAAAATACATGGGATAATTAATGTTCTTCCCACCGGCAATGAAACAAAATAGGCTATTTAAGATGAGGAAATTCTCAAGGCACATTGCCATTTTCAGTTCAGTCCAGAATAGGTTTTTAAAAATGTTCTCAGTTCCAACTCCTTACCCTTCTGGTGAACCCTGGACAACCTAAAAAAGTTGTTACACATTTTTTCTCCAAGACAAGTCACCTCATGCAGGAAATATCAATACTACCAGCAAGAGGTATTACAGGTGTGCACCTGCCACCACTTACAAGTCCCTCGTACAAGTTTCCCACGAAGGTGGCAGAAACAGTGGTGGAAGTGTGGTTTTAACTTTGGTGGTATTGATCAGTTCTTTCATGAATCTTTTTTGAAAAAAAGTAACAGATAATAAAATCCACCCTGCAAATGGAGGAAAGAAAATAAAGAATAAGCAGTGGGGAAGGACTGGGGGTGAGCGTGAGCCATTTATCACAGAGTCAAAACTGATCAGTTGCGTAAATTACAGACCAAAGTGTATGTGTTACAGATGGTGATGATAATCCTCCAAGAAAGTTTGGTGAGTAGGGGAAGGAAGGAAGAATGTGTGATAATTTTATCGTGTTTTATAGCAGGAGTCCATAGATATGGACTAAAATAGGAAAGAGTAGTTAACTTGTAAAAATCAACGTTACTCCAGTCTCAACATTTTTCTAATCTTTTTTCTTAATTTTACAGGAATATTTATGATCTAATACTTCTTGTAAAGAAAACATCTTTCCAAAGTTCAGCACTTTATTTGGTTTCACTTTAATTTCTTCTTCTACTGTTAAAATTCAGGAAAATTACATTAAATACTTTGGATTAAAAAAAACAGCGCATCTTCCCGGGTGCATCCTCCCTCCCTCCCTTCGAGAGACGTCACGAATCGTGTTTACCAAATGTCAATAATTGTTGCTTCTGGGTGGTGAGATTTAAAAACATTTTCTCTTTTTAAAATTTTGTGTTTTTCTTTATTGTTTGAAATATTTACAATTAAAAAAATAACAAACGACATCAAATCATTATTCCTTAAGGAGGAGGGGCGGACCCTGGGGAGGTGAGGAGGGGGAAGGGCAGCAACAGGAGAAATAAGGTCATAGGTAAGAGGGCAGTGATGGAGGAAGGGCTGCACAAGCTGCACCACACACCGCTGGACACGCCCTGCGAGGCAGGGGGACCTGGTGTGGCTGCAGACTGGAGGGTCTTTGGAGGTAAGGGCAAGGCGAAGGGCCATCACGGGCCATGCCCAGGAGCCTGGGTTTTATTCTCAGTGAATGAGACAAGCCCTAGGAGGGTCTGACCAGGGCACTGTGGCCTGGTTTTCAGTTTCCAAGATCCCCACGGCTGTTCTATGCGGAATGTGGGCAGGAGCTGCTGGTGACCCAGGCCAGGTGACGGAGTGTGTTGACAGAGAGGGAGTATGAGGGCACCTGGGGTGGGGTGCTGCCATTTCCGACATGGGGACAAGAGGCAAGGTCTGGAGCCTCCTCTTCTCAGACCAGGTCTGAGGTGCCCCTGAACCTCCCAGAGGCTGCTGGCACCCCCAGATCCCGCTTCCTACCACTGGGCCCACCAGGAGGCTCCAGGCAGACCCAGGCACCCCACTGAGCTACATGCTGGCAGGCAGGCAGCACGCCTCTGTGCTTCTGCTGCGTGGCTGCTCTGTTCTCTGCCCACCACTGAGCCCAGCCCGGCCACTGACCCTGGACCAGAACTGAGCCTGGACTGGCCGCTCACCCCCGGAGCAGCTCTCTAGCACCTGGTTCTTCGTCCCATATCATTCACCATGGAGGATGGTTTTACAGCAGAGCCTGGTACTGTCTGAGCAGACTGCCCACAACATTCACTAGCCACGTGGCCTTAGGCGGGATTTTCAGCCTCCACACCTGCTTTTCATCTGCATTAGTTCTGATAATAATAGTACAAGGCTGGTGGGAAGGTCAGACTCAAAGGGCCTTGCAGGTGGGGTGTCCCTGCCTCACCTCGGCTGCTCTCTCTGAAGCGCTGCAACCCGCACCTCCAGCATCCTGATCAAGCCCCCATTCTCCCAGCTCTGTGGTGCTCCTGCAGCAACACAGGGAGTCAGCTATATTCTCCAGCTCTGTTTTTGGAAAACTTGTATCTGCCACTGTGAGCTTCCAATATTTAAAGACTTTTCTGATAAGACTGTTGGAGACATAAGTGATTTTTGGCATTGAATAATGAACTGTCAACATTTGGAACATCTATATCACTCATAGAATTGTTATATCTCAAATGATAACGTAGATATCACAGAATCACACCAGGGTAAAAGATCCATTCAGGTGCAAGACAGATCAACAGATTTTTTTTTTTTTTTTTTTTTTTAGATTTTATTTTTTCCTTTTTCTCCCCAAAGCCCCCCAGTACATAGTTGTATATTCTTTGTTGTGTGTCCTTCTAGTTGTGGCATGTGGGACGCTGCCTCAGCGTGGTTTAACGAGCAGTGCCATGTCTGCGCCCAGGATTCGAACCAACGAAACACTGGGCCGCCTGCAGCGGAGCGCACGAACTTAACCACTCGGCCACGGGGCCAGCCTCCAGATCAACAGATTTTAATGAAGCTGAGCACAAAGGTTCACTGATATGGTTTCAGATTTCACATTGCAACTAATCTTTTCTTTTTAAAAATAACTTCTATTTTGAAATAGTTTAACTCTCACAAGAAGTTGCCGAGAGTCCGTGTGCCGTTCACCCAGATCCCCCAGCGGCGGTCCTGAGCACAGTCACAGGACTTGTGGGACCAGGCCCACAGCGTTGGTACAGTCTGTTAGCTCAGGAGCAGACCTCAAGAGGGTCTTGCTGTTGTACACACACTGGTTCCTTTTTTCTCCAACTAACCTTTAAGAAACTATCATTTGTCGAGTTTTAGTGCAGTATCAAAAAAGAACATCCACAATGGCCAGAAAAAGGATCTTAAAATTCTTCTTCCTTTTCCAACTATGTATCTGTGACTACTTCCACCAAACACACACATCACCACAGACTGAATGCAGAATCCAACTGTCTTCAACTAAGCCAGACATTAAAGAGAGCTATAAAAATGTAAAGCAAAGCCACACTCCTCAGTAAATATTTTTGTTTTAGAAAATAGTTATTTTTCTTAAAAATATGGCATATTAACATGAAATGGGTTTATGTCTTTATGTTTTTGAAACGTCTTAGTTCTAATTTCACATGCCATAAACACTGACAGATGTAACCCACATAAACCAAAGCTCCATGGGACCCCAGGGGTTTCTAGGATCGTAAAGGGGTCTGAGTTCTACAAGGCAAACCCCAGCAGCAGACGAGCTCCTGGGCTCTCTGAGCTCACACACACCACAACAGATTTGGACCTTTTTATTCATCCACTTAAATGCACACATTTGGATCATATCATAACTAATCCCGAGGAAATTAAAAGTTCAGAAGTTTCTGGAGTGATTGTCAACAGAGTAATACAATTCATATTCGAACTAAGTATTTTAAAGTGAACTTGTATTAAACCATTTACTATTTAATCTAAATTCAAGTACAGTAGTCAAAGAAATTAAAGCTATTCATTAACCTTGTAAAATTCACATCTTTTTTTTTAAGAGTGCTCTTGCATGTAAATCTATGAAGTAAATAGTAGACTTCAAAAATGTTATTTTTCCAGGGTCTTAATAGCACAGTCTAAGACTTGGTGTTGGTCTGGTCCATGGCTGTAAAGAACACGCAAACAGCAGCCGTGATGAGCAGATGCATTCCCTCATAGAGAAGTTTTGGAGAAAAAACACTCCATATAAATAAATGATACCGCAGGGATGTCACCAAAATGATATATGCAGAAACTGGAAAAGAACCGATCAGCGCGTAGCAGAAGCCGGCATGACTCAGTGCTGAACTGCTGTTAATAAGAAGGGAAATCTGTATTAGTATGTGCCACTTCTGCATCATGTAAGGCACAAACATACAGGTAATCAATACTTCTATGAAAAATGGCTATGGTGAGTCCTGGGGAAGCCCCACCCCTGAAGTCTGGATCTAGTCAGTCTGGTGGGAAGGAGCCTGCACTTCTAATGGGCAGAGGTGCCCGAGGAGACAGCAGCTGCAGGTGGGCCTCCAGTCACTCTCCAGGCCACCACAACCTGTAAAGTGCTGTTGAAAAATGCACCCGTAAATTTTGCATAGTTCTTTATTTTACAATGAATGCATGTACTACTATACTCATATATTACATGTGTTATAAGGTACAAATAAAGAAGAGAAAACCACACAGGATGATACACACGCTCTGAGCTCTTCTTTGTGCTGCTGTCCAGTAGGCATCTGGTTTGTCTGGTCTGGGGACACCAGCCCAAGAGTGTTTGCTAACAGTGAAGAGGAGCATTCTTGACACGGGAACAATCCCTCAAAGCCATGAATGTCCTCCCTTTGTCTTCAAACTATCAACACGATCGTTAGGTAAATCTGACCTATTCTTTAAGGCAACTTCCTGAGACTGGGATTAATCCAAACAAGTTCCATTACCTTGGCGTCTCTGACTCCTCACCCACCCTGCAAATCCTCAGAGGTCAGCTTTCCAGGTCCTGGTTAAGGCACGGTCTGCTTCTGCCGCCTCCCCTCAAACACTGCGATGAGTCTCCAGGTGGCCTATTCGTGGTCAGTCCATGCCACTCGTCACTGCTGCCCGCTCTTCCTGGAGCACAGTCTGTCATGTGTGTAGCACTCTTCACTGACTGTGTGTGCTCCCGTCAGCACTGCTGTGTATGAGGACAGGGCCCTGGGGTTACTGGAGTTCCAGGCAGGAAGCAAGCACGCCCACTGGAGTGGACAGCTTGTGTGCTCAGGAGAGTCTTGGGGGTGCCACACTCACGCTGGGAAGGGTCTGACATGAGAGGTGAGTGGCAAGGAGCTCTGTGTAGGGGCAGCAAAGGCCCACAGGCAGAGCATGTGTGTGCATGTGCATGTGAGTGTGTGCACGCCTGTGTGCATGGCTATGCGTGCATGTGTACACGTGTACCTGGGTGCATGCATGTGTGCACCTGCATGCACGTGCTCTACACAGGGACTCCTTAGGCCCGTTGACCAGGCCCCATTAGCTGGTGCCACTCTAAGATGCCCCCTAATGTGCTCACTGTCCAGCAAAGAGTGTCGACAGCCATTCAAGGGTCAAAGGACGCCTGGCCCCTCATGCTCACAGCACTTGCCCCCACTGTGGCCTTGCTTTGCCCCAACTGTCCCCCGTCTTAGGCCTTGGTGCCTGTCCTTCCTGCTGGGTTCCTGCCCCATCACCCTTGGCAGGCAACGTGCTCTGCTTCCCCTTGGCATGTGCTCTTCCCTTGCTCCCTCAGCTGGCTGTGATTACTTCTATCATACACCCTCCTCTGGGATGCTGTTCCAACCCGCGATGCCAGCAGACTCAGGCACTCAGCTGCTCTGGGCTCAGCTCTGTGATGGCACTCAGTGTGTAACCAGTTCATTTTGCTGCTGCACCCACCAGACTTGAGATCCTGGAGCGAATCCTTGTGCCTGTACCGTGGGTCCCACTCTGGATCCAGCCCATCAAGCAGAGGACCCCCAGGGAGCTGGGTCCCAAGGTGTTACCTTATCGCCTCCCCAGGGCCACTGCTCCAACACCTGGCAAAGGGAAACTCGGGAAAAGCTTCGTGGATGAACGGGCCATGGCCCAGGGCTCTGCTGCCCCTCTCTGTGGAGTGTTACGGTGTTTGTGTTCAGCCAAGAGCCTGCTGATCCCGCTTCTTTCTCGACCAGACAGTGAGGGGAGGGTGGAGCTCCCAGGACACGGCCCTTCCTTGAATTTCAATCTCACACACAATCAACATTCCCTACTCGGAAGACTGGCTTAGGTTCCTCCCAGAGCAACACGAGTAGGGGTACCATTCCTGTAACCTCAGCAAAGGATGCCCTGTGCTTTAGGGACATGGACCAAGGCCCTGCAGCTTGGACCAGCATGGCTGTCCACACTACCAGGCTCTCGACCCAAAGCCAGCCCCTGAGAAAGAGGGTCATGGACCACCCAGGCCTAACTTTTGAGCTATTAGAAATATATTGTCTTTTTCTACCATTTTTATCTGGTTATAGTTTTCTTTCTTTTTTTTTAAAGATTTTAAAAAAAATTTTTCCTTTTCCTCCACAAAGCTCCCCGGTACATAGTTGTATATTTTAGTTGTGGGTCCTTCTAGTTGTGGCATGTGGGATGCTGCCTCAACGTGGCCTGACAAGTGGTACCATGTCTGCGCCCAGGATCCGAGCCGGTGAAACCCAGGGCTGCTGCAGTGGAGCGTGCTAACTTGGCCATGGGGCCGGCCCCTAGTTTTCTTATTTTATTGAAAAAAAATTAGAAACAGTAAGCAAAACTTTGTTTTAAGCTCTTAAAAATGAAGGAGAAAACTTTTTCTAAAATAAAGGAGAAACATTCCTTATTTAGGGAAAAATCATACAGTTCTTTCCAACTGATTAAAATGCTTTCAGCTCACTTTAAAAAAATGCTTCATCTGTCTTTTTTCTCCTCAATACAAATGCAACAGATGGAAAGGGTTGGGAAAACGGAATCGTGATTTCAGCAGCTGGGAAGCTGCTCTTCACAGAAGCCCAGCCCTCGCCACCAGGCCCTCACCTCCCTGGTCCACCTGCTGGGCCAGGCTGGAAGCCCAGACACGCTATGCTGGGCCGAGCCGCGCGCATGCAGCAGAGCAGCTCTCCAAGGCAGAGGTGTGTACGCCTCACTGACTCGTGGCCCCTTGGGCCTCAACATGCGACAGCACCAACGGGGACCAAGGCCTCTTGCCTTTCTCAGTCGGAGCCGACCCAGCAGGCCTGTCAACCAAACCAAATCCCCCTCAGAGAGATGTCTGGAACCTGGTAGTAAGAGAACCAACAGCTCAGTGGTGGTATGCGGCTGATGCAGGTTCACATGCAGAATGAAGCCTGGAAGGGCGTGTTGGGCGGTGCAGAGACTCCCATGTCCCTCGGCTCCAGCCAGCAGTGCCTTGGCTTGCAGGTACTGATCATCAGTGACTAAGTTAAGGGGAGTCTGTCCACAAGCAGCCCCAAAATGTGCCCCCGAGGAAGACACAGGTGACTCCCAGGGCTTCCCTTATCCTCAGGAAGTCCCCTTCCAGCTGGGGAAACAAGATGCTCACGTCTGAGAAGCCAAACATCAACCACCACAGATCAGAAAGAGGAGAGCAAGCGGGATGCGTGTGAGGCCAGGGGTCTCCGGAGCGGGAGGCCTGCTCTCCATGCTGACACCTTCACTGGGCCTTCTTGCTCTAAAATCCGACTGGAGAGTCTTGTTGGGCTCATGCCTACATACACGTTCACCCCTCACGCAAACGCGGAACGAGTGAGAGAGAACATGGGCCATGGAATGAACTTGGCGGCAGAAGCTGAGGGTCTCTGAGGCCCGCGTCTCAGGAGCTGGGCTGGGGAGTGGACCTGGGGTGGGGCTGGGAGGAACCCGTGAAGGAGGCCGAGGCAGTGGGGAGCGCCCCAAGTGCCCCTTGAGAGGCAGGGCCCGAGGTGTCTGGGGAGGCTCAGACACGGGGTCGGCGGTCAAAACAGTGAGGGCTGCACTTTTAACAGGGGGCAGACAGGTAGGGGTCACAGGGGCACGGGGACAGAAGCCTTGGCCTCCCCTTGGTGGCACTCTCCGTGGGCCTCCCTGACGGCTGTGTCCCACGTGCTCCATGGCCCACCCGGTGTGTGGAGGCTGGTCCAGCGCTGAAACAGATGCTTGAGGCAGAGGGGAGGCCATGCCCATGGGTTGCGTCACTGAGTCTGCACAGAAATGCCAAGGTGCTGGGGGGAGCGGTGGTGTTGATGAGGGGGCAGGCACCGAGGGAGCCTTGACACCGCCTGGCTCTCACTCCTCCAGCACTGCGCGACACCTCATGTGGCCCCAGAACCTGGAGACGACTCCATCACACCGTTTTCAGACAGGAGAGCCTGGGCCCATTGGGGAGGCACAGAGCCTGGCAGCCCACACACTTTAGGGGCACTCTGCCCAGCCGCGCCAGGCTTGAGGCTGCCATGAAGCCCCTGCCTCAGGAAGCCCCTTTCTGCGGGAGCAACGATGAACAAGGAAGGAAGCACCAAATATGAGAGGGACAGGTGGATAGAGCGCGCTGGGCTGCAGGGCAGGTGGGCTGTGATCAGTCTGGGGCATCTTCCTGAGGCGGAAGAGGAGCCTTCAGGGATGGCCAGAGGGGCGGGGCCACGTGGAGGCTGAGGGGCCTCTCAGCAGCAGGGGAGGACACTCTGGCCTTGTTCTCCAGCTAGACTGTGGGCCTCCATGAGGTCAGGACAGGGCACGGTGACACGGTGAGCGCCCCTCAAGCATCCCCTCAGGACTGTCTAGGCTCCTGTCTCCAGCAGTGATCCTGGAGGCGAGAGCCAGCATCTCGTCTTCACGTCCGAAAGGGAAGACTCCCCTGTCCCCAACCAGGCCACAAGCAAGCAGAGAAACCAAGAAGGGATTTTCCTTCCTGTGTCCCTGGAAACCATGCTTGGTATGACCTGGAAGAGGCCAGCGAAGGCTGGGCTGCCCCCATGCATCCCCAGCCATCCGGACACAGGACCTGAACGGGCCCCACCCAGACCCTCTGACCATGTGCTGTGGATGCTCATTCTTATTTAAGGAAAAGAAAGTAGACAAAGAAGACCGTGGGCCCTTGGTGCTCGGATGCCCCACATCTGGAACATGGCGTTACTCACCATCAGACACTCTGCTGGGAAACAAAGGGGAGTCTCACCTGCTGGCCTCTGAGCTCAGGAAGCTCACCAAGTGGCTGGCCCACAGCACAGGCCCCGCGTACGTTGCAAATGCTGTCAGGAATATGGCTGGGATCTCCACGTAGGTGTCCAGGCCCACGAAGCCCGCCGAGATGTCCACTGTGGCGATGTTGTTGGAGTTTCCCTGGAACACAGGAAGAAACAGCGCTGACACAGACAGTCTCACCACATGGCCACTAGCGACCATGAAAAGCCACAGACGGCCACGTCCACGGCAGTGTGGACACACAGGAGCCCAGGCACCAGTCCACTCTTTCCAATCCCGGGGCTGACCTTGGATGAGCTGTCCCTTCACCTGCCCACCTGACTCCAGGTGGGGAGGAGCAGGTGAAGTGTCTTTCATCTTTGAGAGACGATCGTCACACACGGCACAATGATGTTTTGGTCAACAGCAGACCACAAGCATGATGGTGGCCCATAAAATTAGCAGTGTGGAGCCAAGGTGTGTCGTAGGTTGCACCATCGAGGTTTGTGTACGGACACTATGATGTTCATGGAATGACAAAACCGCCTGACGAACATTCTCAGAACATGTCCCCATCGTCAAGTGATGCACAACTGTATACACACCAAGCTCCCTCCTCAGGGACCTTGTCTGAGGTCAGCAGGTGGTGCTGGGAGGCAAAGTGGTTGAGGTGGCACATGTGGGAGGCTGAAGGCAGTGCGGCTGCACAGCTCGTTGGGTGGGTGAATGTGGCTATTAGGAGGCAGAGGGCAGGCTGGCCCCGGGAGGGCTCGGCGGCTCCATGTCCAGCTTACATCCAATTCGAGATCCTGGGGAGTCACTTCCCCACCCTGACTCACCATGTGCCCGCTAGCTCTCATGTCTATACAGCTGCTGGTCACCCTGACTCGCTGTGGGCCCGCTCTGCTCACGTGTCCACACTGCTGCTCATTGCCCTGACTCACTGTGGGCCTGCTAGCTCCTATGTCCACACTGCTGCTCATCGTCCCAACTTGCTGTGTGCCCGCTAGCTCCCGTGTCCACACTGCTGCTTGTTGCCCAGAGTCGCTGTGGGCCCTCTGCTCTTGTGTCCACACTGCTGCTCATTGCCCTGACTTGCTGTGGGCCTGCTCTGCTCCCGTGTCCACACTGCTGCTCATCATCCCGACTTGCTGTGGGCCCTCTGCTCCTGTGTCCACACTGCTGCTTGTCACCGTCAGACTTGTTGTGGGGCCTCCTGAGCAAGGACTGCATCTGTGCTCAGTTTGCTCGCTGGTGGATTCCCAGCACATACAAGGCGCCTGCTGTAGCAACACCAGTGGCCGTCGACATGTGCGTTCCTGCTCCCCAGGGGCAGCACTTGAGATGTGCCAGCATCAAGCGCTATCACCAAAGCTTCCTCTCCACCTCCCCGGAACATGGCCACATGCCACAGAGGAGCAAACTGAACGCCAGAGGCTGTCTCCTCGCTCAGGACTCTAACTGTGGCTCTGTCAGTCTTCCTGACACCGAGGCCTCATTGCTCGGCAAGCCTGCCTGACCAGCACCTGCCTTCTCCATCTCAGCTCAGAGGGAGCCCCGAAATCCCCCCTGACTGTGCCAGCAGGGTCTGCCATGCTGTCAGTCCACAGATACCAGGACCTGTCTGTGGATTGTGGACTGGGCAGGCACTGCCACGATGGCTCCACATGGTGCCATGGCTCTTTGTCTGCCCCTGGGGAGGAGTGTCCTGCATTCATCAGACACGCTCCCTATCTAGCACGAGGCTGGGGGACCTGGAGAAGGGAGAGGGACAGATGATTTTCCTTGGCGATGCTGTTCCCATTCCCCACCAAGCCACTTACGGTCAGAGACTGAGTGACCATCATTAACAGACTCTGGATGGGAGGCAACCACCAGAAACAGACCTGCACACGACTTCCAGATAAAGAGAGGGACCTGAGACCGACACAGGCCGTTTGGAAATTTCTGAAATGCTCGATGAACCTTGACGTTCTTCTGTAGCAATACGTAAGTTCCACCAATGGGCAACCGTTACAGGACCCTAACAGGGTTGAGTTGTACCAATCCAAAAGAAGCAGCAAAGCACGCTGAATGGAATACCGGCTCCTCCGATACCCAAAGTTCACTTCACGCTGCTTCGCTTTTACAAACGACCTACATTAGCACCTGTTTTCACTAACTGAAAGAGATCTCAATGAGTCCTCACTCTTACCAGAAAAGTCAAACAGCCACACAGCGTCAGCGTTTGTTTTGCAGGAGCCGTTACAGAGGCAGCACGCAGCTGGAGCAGCAACAGTGGCACCACCCAGCTCAGGGAACTACTCAGCCTCTTGGCATCGGGCTGCCATAGCTGTGAGCCGTGTCTGAGCATCCGCGCTTTATCTTGATTTATTTTTGGAGGTTGACTTTGGGTCTGGAAATGCTGAAAATTTCTTCCATATAAATTAATGGCAATTGCTTCTTTGCTCCATTGCCTCTCTCCAGGCCAACTGTTTACAGGTGGTTCCTTCATTTTCTTCCCGTTCCCACAGGAACTCTGGAATTCCTGGGCAAAGTCTGCATTTCCCCATATCCACAACGCTTGTGGCCTTCTAAAGGTCTTCTGACAGGGTTGAAATAGCTGTGGCCTTTGAAATACGGATGCTTGACACCAGGGAGAAACACAAAGAACTGAAATGTCACGAGGCCCAGCAGAGGTCAGCCTGTGCACATCTCTAGGCCCCAGCATCCTGGTCATCAGTCCGGGTCCTCAATCATCCAGCACCTCCTGTGACAGGTGGTAACTGCTCATCTGGCTCAGACTTCAGGAAGGTGTGGTCCACTCTGCAGGCCCAGCCGTGACTGCTCCATTGGGGTCTGATCAACACCGGGAGGCACTGAGAACTTACTGCGCACAGGTTACCTTCTGTTTCTCACGTTAGTTAATTTAATGCTCACAGCAACTGAGGAGGAGGTGAACTATTACCCCATTTGACAGATGAGGAAACAGGCACAGCAGGTGCCTTCTAGAGGCCACCTAGCTCAGGAGTGCTGGAGACCAGTGTCGGGGCCATGGCCGCCTGCAGTTCTGCTGGGGACCGCCACTCTGGAAGCCACATGAGTACAGGGCTGAAAGACGTGTGGAGTCCTCAGGGGGAGACCCACGGCTAGAGTGAAGGTAAGCAGGCTCTGAGGACCACAGGGTGAGAGCTGGTCCGGGTCAGGTCACATCCCTCCAGGACTCAAGGATTTCTAGCACTTTACCTCCACCCACTTCTGGGCTTCAGGGAACACACAGAAAAGTTGTGCAACTGGGCTGCTCTGTGGGTGAGGCTGGGAATGCCAGAAAATCAGGAAAGAAGGGGGTGGGAGTGGGGAGGAGGCCCCAGGCCGAGCTGTTGGGACATACACAATCAGACAAGTCTCCAGGGTCTGGATGGAGGAGGAAGGAGGAGCCGGTGCACATGGAGAAAATACAGGTCCTCACTATAAAGATGGGAAAACACAACCAAGATGTTCAGTAGTCTGTGCAAAGTCGCTCGGCCAGGGAGTGCTGGAGCCAGGAGGGAACTCTGGTGAGCTGCACCCCACCCCTGTGGGTACCAATAGCAGCGACCAGGTCAAGGGTGGGGCCTCCTGACCCAGTTTGGTGATACAGGAAGGCTGGGAAGGAACTGGGTCCCTCCAAGGCCAGGAGCTGGAACCTCTATCTAACTTCCAGGTGCTGTTTCAAGCACACAGGTGTATAGTGAAGTCTCCTGGAGGCGGCTTGCTATTGCCTCTGATGTGCCCTTCCACACTGGAGAGAAGACGTGACAACCACCAGGCTCCAGGGGATTAATAACCAGGTTGGGACAGCCCACAGTGCCTAGTGCTGACAGCCAGGAGAAAGGGCACAAGTCAGCATTACCATTCTCATTAGATAAAGCAACAGAAATGCAATGTGCTTCCTAGTTGCCTGCGGTAGACAGCTCCAGCACAGCCACAACACATCGTCTCAGCACTCACGGATCCACACTGAAGAGGTCTGTCTCAAACAACTAGCTGTATTTTATCTTATAAAATACACACACAATTTAAGCATAATTCACCACGCCATACTGATAATTCTTCCACTGAACAAACATTTTAACTTCCCAAATTATGGTAAAGTTTTCTCCAAGAAAAAATAAATGACACAAAAAGTTAATAGTCTTCTACCCACAATAATGATGAAAACCCACCTGAAAATAGAAGAATGCTTGGCCAAACCAGTAATGCATCACAGTGACCTCGGCCACATCATGCCTCAGGGGCTTCCAGACGAACTTCGCCATCAGAGTCTGAATCAAGAGGCTCAGCACTAAGACAGGGAGGTTGTGTGGTCTAAGGAGCAATGCTGCCAGGAGCACAAATCCACTGTACAGCTCCCACAGACCGACAGTCTTGACTGTGAAGCCTGCAGCAACGACTTGAGATTTAAGCAAGTCTTTGGTGCCCGTGAACAGAATGCCGAGGACAAAGACATAAACAAAACGGGCTTCAAGAATACCCCTAAAAAAGGAAAACAAGTTAGATTTGTTAGCACCAGCTGGAAAAATAGCTAAACCACAGCAAAACCATGTGTTTGCTTGGCTGACTAAACAAGCCATAGCCCCGCCTGCCCAGGGAACTCCATGGAAGTGGGGGTGTCTGCCTCTGCGCATCAGCCCCCAGGACCCCCTGCCCAGAGGCCTGTCCTCCGAGTGTGCACTTCTCTGATGGAGCCGGCTTACAGGAAATCGTGCTCATTCGGCCCAAGGATCACTTGGGTGCAAGACCAGAGCCGTCTCTTGTAGCATGCCAGGAAAATGGTCCCCCTACTTCTCACGGTTAATGGGAAATCACTGCAGTGGGATAAGGTCCAGCTCTGTCGGGGACGTCCGTAAGTCTGTAAATGCTGAGATACATCGAGCATGTTCACAACCACGCTGATTCAAGTAAGTGCTTGTATCTGATGTGCACACACATCTACAGTGGTGTGTCCAGACTCTGGGGTCTGGAGAAAGGCAGGGCCAGGTCAGTCTGGGCTCTGCCACTCACTAGCTCTGTTGTTGGGGGCAAGTTAACTAAGATTTCTGATGCTCAGCTTCATTACTCGTAAAAAGAAGAGAAATAGTACCTATACCTCACAAGGCTGTCGTGGGAATTAAACAAGAGAAGACACGTAAAGTGTGTGGCACACAGTAAATATTAAGTACTATTGTGAATGAAGTATTTTAGCACTTCACTTACAGTCATCTGTAAAGCATACAATTTATGACACTATACCAAAGAATTTTATCCTATGAAACACATATATTCCTAAAACATATTTTAAATAAATTTCATAAATCAAATATTTTATATATACTAGAAAAGCTGATCATTTAAAGTAATGCTAAGTAAATAAAATTTTAAATGAAATAATCACTGTAATAATGTATCTGTTTTGAAAAACTGAATTTTTTTATCTCAGATTTTCTTAGGAAGGTTTATGTATTAAAAGAAAAAATTTTTTTTTTTTCAGTATGATCAGTTTAATTCAAACAGTTAGAACACTGTCTACCATGTGCCTGGCAGTGTGGAGATACGAAAGACTGGCACAAGGCCTGCCCTGGGGCCCCGCACAGGCCAAGAAGCTGGGGTCAGGTGCAACCCTACAGCCAAGGTGTGTCCTAAGCTGAGAGCTAATGATGAACCCACAAGGGTTAAAGAAGGAGAAATCAGCAAAGGCACGAGTGATCAGAGAAGTTCCAAGGAAGAAAGGGACTGAACTGGAGGATGCCACCAGATGCCTTCAGTGGGTCCACCTCCTTGTCCTAACCAGTCAGGGCCATTCCCGTGCATCCAGGACCACTGTAACCTGGCCTTCCACTCCAGTCAAGCCTGGGCTTCGGAGCGGAGAAGAAAGTCAGGAGCTACATGTAAAGGAGGATTTTAGAATATCATTGGACAGCAGCACCAGGAGAAACTGAAAGGAGAGAAGCAGCTGTTAGGGTGATCTAGAATTAGGTTGGCTCTAGAACTCGGTCAGATCTGGAACTAGGACAGATCTGGAATCAGAATGGACTTGGAACCAGGATGGATCTAGAATCAGGGTGGGTCTAGAACAAGGATGGCTCTAGAACCAGGATGGTTCTAGAATCAGGACAGATGGGGGTGGGGAACGAAAGCATATTATAGGAGGAATGTAAACCAAGCAGCACAGGTTGATGAAAGAGTGCACTGGCCTATCTTCTGGACACCAACAAGGAACATGCTGTTGTATCCATGACAAGCAAGGTAAGTGATCCAAGTTTTCCAGGGAGTGATGCTGAAATTAAGTACACCAATCTGAGATCTGAGAGGAAATGAGGAATTGAATCATGCATCATACTTTAAGATTTAAACAAACACCCCTATGTTGAACACCTTCAAATGTGACATCCACCTTGACATCTGCCCAGAGCCTCACACTGAACAGCCTTTGAGATGTCTCCAGACTACGTGCTCCCCACCTGACCTCCCTGCATCAGGTGATGGTGTGCCACCCTCCTGCCGTCACCTCAGCCAGGCCCTTGGCATCACCTCGACTCCCCACACAGGGTAGTAGGTCCTGTTTCCAGGTGTGCCCCTTGCGCCCCTCAGCCACCCACATGGCCTGGCCACAGCTCTCAGCTTTTGCCTTGACCTTTTCAGAGAAGATGACATTTACTTTCTTTCTCTGATGAGAAAAGCAATACAAAACTGAGTGAAAAGGAAGATTCCAATCCTATGATCCACCTATGATCCATGTCCTAATATGATCACAGCCAATTACATATTCTAGTCTTTCGTATAAACATGAAAAAATACATACATACTGCATAAGATGTGATCATACTATAGTTTTACAGCCTACTGTTCCACATCTTTATACGTTCTATGGAAACACGCTACTTACTTAACGGCTGCAAAATTCCAGTAGAGCTTTAACATAACTCAGAGGCTCATCCCACTATTGTTGGCCAATTACCTTGTTTTTCACTCTGAGCAACTGTAAACAATGCTTCAGAGGCATGCCTGTATCCAAGTCTCAGGCCTCATCTCTGGTTGTATTCTTGAGATCAATTCTATAAGAGGATGCCTGAGTCAGAGGGTTGGACGCACTCAAGGTTCTTAACACATTTCACAAACAGCTCTCCAGGGAAGCCCCTGCTCACCCCACCCCACTTCAGCATTAAAAACAGAGAAGTTGCCATTTTGAAACACAAAAAGTAGCATTCATGATGCAATCTGCATGAGGCAGCCCCTTACAGAATTATGGGAACATTTAGTTTTCTGGAATGCCCTGTTCCCAACTGCTAGGAAGACCCATTTTTTATTACCCTCATCATGAGTTACTTCTTTTTTTTTTTTTCCTGCTTTTTCTTCCCAAATCCCCCCAGTACATAGTTGTATATTTTAATTGTGGGTCCTTCTGGTTGTGGCACGTGGGATGCTGCTTCAGCATGGCCTAATGAGTGGTGCCATGTCAGTGCCCAGGATCCAAACCAGTGAAACCCTGGGCCGCTGAAGCGGAGGGTGCGAACTTAATCACTCGGCCACAGGGCCGGCCCCAAGAGTTACTTTTTGAGGAGCAAAACCGAATCCTTTAGATTATTTACTTCTAAAGAACCCCCTATTTTAAAAAATAAACCTCAATGACCTTACTTCTAAGTTACTTGTCTCCTTTCTACCAAGAACAGAGGATGATGAATTGGCTCATTGAAGTGTTCCTAGTTACGCTCTAGTAACTGTTGATGAAATCACAATTCACAAAAACCAAACTCTGATGTTCTAAACATTGAGTGGTATTTTTTGGTACATAAAATATTACAACACACCTAAAAGCAAATCCTCATTTCTGCCAGCACACTTACTTTGAAATGTCTTTGTTGTCTTGCTGCCAGGGAAACAGCACATTTCCAATGGCCGCCCTGTAGCAATAGACGCCCAGCAGGCCAAGCGCCATGGCCACTTTGGATGCTGGGGAGCACCTCCTCTGAATCAATGCAAAAATGACAGCGAGGGAGAGGGCAGCCAGAACAGAGAGTGCAGCCTTATGATCAGAGCTGAAATGAAATGGAAGATGCCCAAAATTACTAACAAGACAACTACCGATGTTACGGATCTACACCAAGAGCCTTTCTAAAAAGTGTACTACAAACAGCTGATTTTCCTGAAAAGCAAAAGAGAAAAACTGCTGGTTATTTAAATTCAAACAAAGGTTCTTAAAAGATAACAAATAAAGGACTGTTAGCCTGAACTCTCATTTTTCATTCACAAGTGGTTCCACCAACAGCTCTGCACTGGCCAGGGCAGCGATATGCATATAAAACACTTCCACTGGCTCCCTGGGGGCCCCTTTTTCTGGGACAGCCCCACTTTCCCAACCACAGGAGAAGAGGTTCTGGGCAAACCGTGTATTGACCAAGTGTACACTGTGCTCATGGGAGACACGCAAGTCCTGGCAGGATCCTCTTCCTCATTAACACAGATTGACTCAGTCAAGAGTGTCTGCCCCATTCCCAATGTCAAAGGACAGAGCCCGGGCCCCTCTCTCTGCTTGGCCCTTGCCACCCTGCTACCTCGGGGAGTGCTGTGCTGGGAAGGAAGGGTTCTTTACTGTTTTATTCACCGCAGCTCACACTCACAAAACCCAGACACTCCATAGTTGCTAAAGTGGATGGGTGACTCTTCTGCCAAGGTGTACACACACAAATGGAAACGTGACTTGGAGAGATGTGGCCAGTGTCAGGCCGTGGGTCCCGGGGATGGTAGGTGGTAAAAGGGCCACACTGGGGCCTGGCAGTGCTCTGGTCCTTGCTCTGGGAGGCGATCACGAGGGTGTCCATTCATTGTTGCTCATGTGTGCCTTACAGACTCTCCTGCATTGTGAATTGTCACAACTGAAAAATGGAGCAATAGAGAAGGCGAGTTCAGGTGCCTCTGGAGGGGCTCTGCTGTGAAGAAGGCATGGGGCGACACTGCAGCCTTTTCACAAACCGACAGGAATGACCCATCAGTTACTCCTGACAGCGCACAGGGAAAACTGCAGTGCAGGAGGGCAGTGCCCTCTGGCGGAAGGGGCTGGGTCCTGTGTGCCGGAGGGTCCAGACTGAGGAGTGGGCACAGCTGTGCCCTGGAGAGGGGATGGGGCTGGTGGGAGGGCCCCTGCACGCACAGTAGTGTATCTGGGGGTGGGAATCAGCAAATTCTCCCGCCATGTTTCAATTTTCCAGAAGAGCAAGAAGTGAGGCCACGGTGCTGCCCAGCGCTCTCATCCTCACGTGTGAGGCTGCAGCCATGGCGCCAGGCAATGCCTCTCTCACCTCCCCTTGGCTTCCTCACCCCAAGTGGGGACAGGCCAGCGTCCTCTCTCAGAGCTGCTGTGATAATGAAATGAACCAATGTGCAGCAGGCACCTGAAAATGCTTCCTGTGGTTACTGTGGTTGCCAAGGGTTGGCTGAGTCTGTTTATATTTGGGAGAAATTTCCCACAAAAACTATTTGGCCAGAGGAATAAATAATTTTATAGCCTTTGATGTGTATTTCCAGGTGTGTGGTTCTAGGATCCTCCTGTACCCCTAAGACTGGGTTTCATGGTTCCTTTGGTTTCTCCACCTGGTCAGGCACCCCATCACTCGGCGCCATCTAACCAGGACTTGCCCGATTCCTAGAGGGAGGAAGCACTTCCCTTTTCTTTCTGTTGGCATTTCCTCCTTCAGAATGTATCTGCAGCTACCCTGAACCCCTGCCTCTGGGCAATTCTTACAGAAGTTCCTCACAGTGACCAGATAGGGACCTTTGTCTGTCACACTCAGGGGAAATAGTTTTTCATTTTCTATTCTCCTTTTACTTCATTTTTCTAAGTCTTCACTGACAATTAAAATTTATAATATAGCCATGGGGCCAGCCCTGTGGCTGAGTGGTTAACTTCATGCACTCCGCTTGGCAGCCCAGGGTTTCGCTGGTTCGGATCCCAGGCGCTGATATGGCACCACTCATCAGGCCATGCTGAGGTGGTGTCCCACATAGTACAACCAGAAGGACCTACAACTAGAATGTACAACTATGTACTGGGGGGCTTTGGGGGTAGGGGGAGGGGGAGGGGGAGAGGGAGAAGAAAAGATTGGCAACAGATGTTTGCCCAGGTGCCAATCTTTAAAAAAAAATATAGCCAAATCTTGACATTTTCTGTCCTGGTTTTTTCTCTTTACTTCAATCCCTCCTGTCTGCTAAACTTTCTACTAGTTTTCTAGCCACTCCTGAAAGGCTTCGGAGCTGGCTGAAGATTCACCCCTTTCGGGGGAGGGAGAGAGGAAAGGGCAGATGGAGGAGAAGGGAGGGAGCATAAAGGGCAGAGCTGCCCAGCCATGCCCTGTCTGCCCCCTCCCCAGCCGTGCCGCATCTCTCCCAGCCCTACCCCATCTCTCCGAGTTGTGCCCCTTCTGGGAGGAGGCAGCCAGCAACAAAACTACATCCTTGCTGCAATTATCATGTTAAAACTCATAGGTTTTCAAACATGAACAACTACAGTGATTCAGCAATAAAAAACCAAACATATTATGGTAGCCTCAAATAAATTCACCTTTCAATGTCAATTCATGGGTTATGGTATATTTTTCCATTTCTTCAGATCTCCAATACCATTTGTATACTGAATATAAAAAATAGGCCTAAATTTTGAAAAAGAGTCTGTGTGTGGCCAGTCAGCTATGGAAGGTCTGGCCTAAGGCCTCATGTTCTCACCTGGTGAGCCAGTGCCCCAGGTCAGGCCGGTGGGCCCACTGCACACCTGTTTGGTTTAGTGATCGCAGCAGTCGGCAGCAGGTGAGTATGACCCATGGGCTTGCCAGCACCATCCACTTCTCATAGCCTCTGAGTGTGCCCAGGGAAGAGGGGCTCTTGCATCCTCTGTTGAGCTCCAGTACGGCACTGCTGGTGTTCTTGTCCTGCAAAGCTGGTGTGGCACCATCAAATCCTCCCTCCACGTGGAGGCAGCGCTGTGGCTCACAGTCATCTCCCGGGAGGTAGTTTCTGTAGATGTCGTGACACAGAGCTAGACACAGGGTGCTAACAAGGAAGTACCAGGTCTGGTGCTCCTCTTCAATGAAGCTGCTTGCTCCCAGACTCAAGACGTGGCCCAGGGTCCCTAACAAGATAAGGAGATCTAACTCTGACCACCTTGAGTTGGAATGAGCTGCATTCTGTAAAAAGGAAAACGTATTTTGAAAGGGAAAAATCTGAAAATTACATATATCTTGTTGCAAATACTTAAAGTTCTTGCTCACAGATGTAACCTGCTGTGACAGACACCTGTTGCTCCTCATGCCAGCATCCAGTGCCCCTGCTTTGGGGGGATGGCCCATCCTCCTGGGGCACAGCCAGGGGGACACGGAAACAGTGTGGGCAGTCCTCACCCTGGACTGCCAGTCCTAAGCTGAGGGACGAGACTGAAGATGCTTAGACCCAAACCATCTGGGCAGTACCGGAGCTCAGAGAGCTCACTGGCCAGCTCCTGGACCCAGCCCTCCATGCACCCGTCCTTGCTCTCTCGGAGCCAGTTCCTGCTACTTGAAACCAAAGAACCCTAAGGACATATCCCATCAAACCAGACATTTAATTTCTCCATGACTTTTCCAGAAATCCAAGAAGTTTCCACTAAAATAGTCAACTCTATTGAAATGACATTCTATTGAAGTTGGCATCATAGTACTAACCCTTAAATATACTAACTTAAAGCATTTAAAATGAAAGATGAGGACTCAGTGATTGTCATTTGATAACTACTCAATATTTATTCTATTTATCGTGTGCCGCTAGTATACAACAGATAGAGATCCTGTGAACACAGTCAGGCCCCAGAGAATCAATCAAATGGCTTTAGGGAACCTCTGCTCTAAGGAGGGAACTGTGTCATCAATGACACAGACACATGGGGACGGGCATCTGGCAGCCCTGTGACGAGGGGACTGCACTGGGTCCCTCGGGCCCTGGGCACTGTGGACTGACTGTGACCGCTCATCTTTGCCTCGCCACCCTGCCACCACAACCAGCCAATGAATGCAGGTGTTAGAGGAATTCTAAAGGAAAACATTCGTCTTGAAAAGAAAACTGCGTTTTACAAGGCAGAATGATTCCTGAGGAGGGCAGGATGAGGACAGGGTCCGAGCCTCCTTTTGGCCTTCCTGGAGTGTCTAGAACACACTTTCCTCTCTGAAATGATCTTCCCTCGGCTGCAGCACAAACACCTCTTCTGAGAGATGCTCTGATTCACGCGATTCCCTGTCAGTCAGCTGCCTATTCGTCTATGACCAGCAGCTCTGCACAGTCCCCTGTGTCACAGTCCCCTGTGCCACAGTCCCCATTACAGTCCCCTGTGTTACAGTCCCCTGTGTCACAGTCCCGTGTTACAGTCCCCATTACAGTCCCCTGTGCCACAGTCCCCTGTGTCACAGTCCCGTGTTACAGTCCCCATTACAGTCCCCTGTGCCACAGTCCCCTGTGTCACAGTCCCGTGTTACAGTCCCCATTACAGTCCCCTGTGTTACAGTCCCGTGTCACAGTCCCCTGTATTACAGTCCCCTGTGTCACAGTCCCATGTTACAGTCCCCTGTGTCACAGTCCTGTGTTACAGTCCCCTGTGTCACAGTCCCGTGTTACAGTCCCCTGTGTCACAGTCCCCTGTGTCACAGTCCCGTGTTACAGTCCCCTGTGTCACAGTCCCGTGTTACAGTCCCCTGTATTACAGTCCCCTGTGTCACAGTCCCGTGTTACAGTCCCCTGTGTTACAGTCCCGTGTCACAGTCCCGTGTCACAGTCCCGTGTTACAGTCCCCTGTATTACAGTCCCCTGTGTCACAGTCCCGTGTTACAGTCCCCTGTGTCACAGTCCCGTGTTACAGTCCCCTGTGTCACAGTCCCCTGTGTCACAGTCCCGTGTCACAGTCCCCTGTGTCACAGTCCCGTGTCACAGTCCCCTGTGTCACAGTCCCCTGTGTCACAGTCCCGTGTCACAGTCCCCTGTGTCACAGTCCCGTGTTACAGTCCCCTGTATTACAGTCCCCTGTGTCACAGTCCCGTGTTACAGTCCCCTGTATTACAGTCCCGTGTTACAGTCCCGTGTTACAGTCCCCTGTGTCACAGTCCCCTGTGTCACAGTCCCGTGTTACAGTCCCCTGTGTCACAGTCCCCTGTGTCACAGTCCCGTGTTACAGTCCCCTGTGTCACAGTCCCGTGTTACAGTCCCGTGTTACAGTCCCGTGTCACAGTCCCGTGTTACAGTCCCCTGTGTCACAGTCCCCTGTGTCACAGTCCCCTGTATTACAGTCCCCTGTGTCACAGTCCCGTGTTACAGTCCCCTGTGTCACAGTCCCGTGTTACAGTCCCCTGTATTACAGTCCCCTGTGTCACAGTCCCGTGTTACAGTCCCCTGTGTTACAGTCCCGTGTCACAGTCCCGTGTTACAGTCCCCTGTGTCACAGTCCTGTTACAGTCCCCTGTATTACAGTCCCGTGTTACAGTCCCCTGTATTACAGTCCCCTGTGTCACAGTCCCGTGTTACAGTCCCCTGTGTTACAGTCCTGTGTCACAGTCCCGTGTTACAGTCCCCTGTGTCACAGTCCCGTTACAGTCCCCTGTATTACAGTCCCGTGTTACAGTCCCCTGTATTACAGTCCCCTGTGTTACAGTCCCGTGTTACAGTCCCCTGTGTCACAGTCCTGTGTCACAGTCCCGTGTTACAGTCCCCTGTGTCACAGTCCTGTTACAGTCCCCTGTATTACAGTCCCGTGTTACAGTCCCCTGTATTACAGTCCCCTGTGTCACAGTCCCGTGTTACAGTCCCCTGTGTCACAGTCCCGTGTTACAGTCCCCTGTGTCACAGTCCCGTGTTACAGTCCCCTGTATTACAGTCCCCTGTGTCACAGTCCCGTGTTACAGTCCCCTGTATTACAGTCCCGTGTCACAGTCCCGTGTTACAGTCCCCTGTGTCACAGTCCCCTGTGTCACAGTCCCGTGTTACAGTCCCCTGTGTCACAGTCCCGTGTTACAGTCCCCTGTGTCACAGTCCCGTGTTACAGTCCCCTGTGTCACAGTCCCCTGTGTCACAGTCCCGTGTTACAGTCCCCTGTGTCACAGTCCCGTGTTACAGTCCCCTGTATTACAGTCCCCTGTGTCACAGTCCCGTGTTACAGTCCCCTGTGTTACAGTCCCGTGTCACAGTCCCGTGTTACAGTCCCCTGTATTACAGTCCCCTGTGTCACAGTCCCGTGTTACAGTCCCCTGTGTTACAGTCCCGTTACAGTCCCCTGTATTACAGTCCCGTGTCACAGTCCCGTGTCACAGTCCCGTGTTACAGTCCCCTGTGTCTCAGTCCCCTGTGTCACAGTCCCGTGTTACAGTCCCGTGTCACAGTCCCCTGTATTACAGTCCCCTGTGTCACAGTCCCGTGTTACAGTCCCCTGTATTACAGTCCCCTGTGTCACAGTCTCGTGTCACAGTCCCCTGTGTTACAGTCCCTGTACAGTCCTCTGTGACACAGTCCTCTGTGACACAGTCACAGGGACCTTGTCTTTCTAACTAAGAAGGAAAGCCTGTACTCTGACCACTAGATCTGTGTCTGAAGTCGGGATGCTCAGAGGCCCAGGAGACAGGCTGCCCCAAACACTTCCTTGTCGGGCTCCCTGAAGGGTGGCTCCTTCTCTCGGCTCCTGCCAGTGCTGTGCCTGGCACACACCAGGGGTTTAACCAATGTCTGATGAATGAGAGACTGGCTGAAATAACAAAAATGGCCCAACTGGAACGACAGTGTCGTGCTCACAGGAACCAGCCTCACCTTACTCAGAAGCTTTCCCCTGACAAGCACCTTGGTGAGAGCAGACACAACTGCGCAGAGCAGTGCAGAAACCAGCACCATCACTCCGCCTGCTGTCAGCCACGAGAGGCTGCAGAGATAGCACGAACTCTCGGTTGAGGTGCACACGATGACGTGAACGGCTGAAAGAACCAGGAACGTCAAATAAAAGAGCAGAGAAAACACAGGTGACAAGAGAGGAACTTCCAGTTCAGCCTTGCTGCTCAGTGCCTGCGGGATGCTGAGCAGGAGCAGGGTGAGAACCTGGAAGAGGAAAACAACAGCGGTGACCACGAATGCTGGGCTTCAGGAAACCTACTTAGAAAAAGCCCACCTCCGACCTTGTGTCAGCTGTTCAAACAGTGGAAACAGAAGAAGAAAGCCCCACAAACACTATTTCCAAAGAACTGCCCAGAACACAGGTCTGCAGCAACAGGAAGGGAGCCATTTGACACCTGACAATACTTTGTGCCTCAGAACACATAAGGAACGAGTTTAACAAACAAGAAAGCTCATATTTTTCCACTTTTAGAAACACTGCTATTACATATACTCTAAACTATAGTATTGTGGCTGAGTTATCAAATCAGTTTAATAGCTGAACCTCACAAGCACGCGTACCTCCAAAACCACGACAGTCCCCACCACCATCGAGTAGACATCATACTGAGCCACTTGTCTGCTCAGGGACAGGCTTAGCGTCTTCAGGGCATCCAAGTACTGCCTGCGCACCTTGGTTCCCAGGTTGAAAAGGACTTCTGAGTTATTTTCCTCCAAGTACAGTCTGATCCAGTTCCCATGCAACCTCTCTGAGATTTTAAACTGCTCAAATCCAGGCTCTAACAAGAAGAGGAAAAGGTTACACATACATATCATGGAAACGCAGGGACACATAATTTCAAAGTATTCAGTTATTCACGGCATATGGTGAAGACTGAGACCTAACGAGGATGAGCTATTCCTCAGAGGGGCGGTCAGCAAGGCTTTCAGGAAACTAACAGCTGATGATGCTTGCAAGCTCTGATGTCCTTGCTGCTAGCCAGCCTGCCATGGTCCCACCCTTGCACACGGCCCTTGCACACGGCCGCACAATGCAGACAGAAGTGTCTGCCTGCTGCTCTGCCCTTCTCTGCACTGGGCCTTACCTCCTCCTCCCCTTCTCTCCATTGTCTCTCTCCATTCTCTTCTTCTTCAATGCGCAATATGACCACCACCCAGAAAGGCATTATGTTAACAGGCGCTCTGTCTTACAGAATCTTGCTGGCACTCACGCACTGCGTGAAGACTGGGTGGGCAGCGGCCTGATGCCTTCTTGGCTGTATCCACTTCCCTGACGCAGGGTGGCCCCTCCTGCCTTCCACTAACAGCTCCCATCTTTGACCAGCTTCTCTTCTCCACAAATTCTCCTTGGAAAGGAATGCCATCTCCTAGCCTCTCCTGCCACCACACTGGCTACGTCTCCAATGCCAATGCCTGGCTAGATGGTCCACCCCTGAACCAAAGCCAGAGTTGGTGGAACAGTTCCTGGACACAGCCCAGCCCTGGCTGCTGCTGGCTCGCTGTTTTGGATGGCAACGGTGATGCCCAAGGTCAAAGGGCTGGCTTCCTTCCTTTCAGAGCTGGACCAGCCTCACTTGTGACTTAACTGGTCTGCAAAGCAAGAACCTCCTTTCTGAGACTCCCTGGTATTTAACATGCTCTTCTGATTCCCAGCAGAGCCATTCGAGGTGGACTAGGCTACGCCTTTCAGGGGCCTTGGCCCTACCCACCGGCAGTGTGCCCACCTCAGCCTTTCCCCATCACAGCCAGGATGGAACCCACGTCACCAGTCTCACACTGCCCAGCATCCTCGATGCAAAACTCCTGAGCATGGGCCCAAACTGCTGCAGCCCCACCAGTGCTGCTGGCACCAACTGACCTATCCCAAGTGCTGGTGGCCAGCATGATGCTAAGCCCCTCACTCCTGTCCTCTCCGCATGACCTAGAGACAGGGACGATTACCAGCCCGTGCCAGACAGGAATAACTCAGACACCAGCTCACAGACAGGTGGGTGAGTGCTAGGGTCTAACTTAGGGAGTCTGGATCCAGGCTGGCACCCTTACTTGCTACACTCCAGAACCCAGAGTCACAGACACGGGGCACTGTGTCCACACCCCACCACCTAGAGTCATGGAGACATGAGGCACCTGTGTCCACACCCCACCACCCAGAGTCATGGAGACATGGGGCACCTGTGTCCACATTCCACCACCCAGAGTCATGGAGACACGAGGAACCTGTGTCCACACTCCACCACCCACAGTCATGGAGACATGGGGCACCTGTGTCCACACAACACTACCTAGAGTCATAGAGACATGGGAGCACCTGTGTCCACACCCCACCACCCAGAGTCACAGAGACATGGGAGCACCTGTGTCCACACCCCACTACCAGAGTTATAGAGACATGGGGCACCTGTGCATGCATCCAAACAAATATTTACTGAGCACTCACTACCTGCTATGTGCAAAGAGGTATAGTCTCTGCCTGCTTGGACTTGTGATCCAGTAGGGTTCTCACCTATGTGTGTAATGACAAGTTGTGAAAAATGCTATGGAGGAAAAGTAGAGGGACTAATGAGAGACTTCTGGTAAGGCAGAGGGAACTGACTTAAGACTGGCACTGAAGGTGGGGGACAAGGACTGGGGGACAAGTGACATTTAAGCTGAAATGTAAAGGATGCCCAGGAATTAAGCAGGTAAATACTGAGGAAGAGCATCCAGTCAATGGGACTGGCACATGCAAAAGTCCTGAGGTGAGAAAGCTTGTCCCACTGGAACTGAAGAAAGTCAGATGAGCGATGGGCGAGTTGCATCAGATTGGACCAGAGATGACAGAAGCCTTGAAATCTATTTCATTGTCAGACCTGTACTCACTTTTGTTTCAGGAAACATGATCACTGGAGTGTAGACCAAGGCCGCCCCAGGGGTGTAAGCCCTTTGAATGCCTTCTCATTCCAGGGACTGGCCCATGTTCACTTTACAGGCTCATTTCTGGCCACACCCATGCAGTGCTCAATACTCCCTACCCTGCTCTTCCTGAAATAAGTGCACAACCCCATTACTTTTTTCTCTTTTTTTCAATTCTACCATTAAAGCAATGTGACATATTATTAGCTAAATTCTAACTCTATCCTTAAATATATATACATATTTTATTTGAGTTCATAATAGTTTAAATGATTGTGAAATTTCAGTTGTACATTATTTCTTGTCTGTCACCACATAAGTGCTCCCCTTCACCCCCTGTGCCCTCCCCCTACCTCCCTTCCCCTGGTAACCACTGAACTGTTTTCTTTGTCCATGTGTTTGTTTATATTCCATATATGAGTGAAATCATCTGGTGTTTGTCCTTCTCACTCTGGCTTATTTCGCTAAGCATAATTCCCTCCAGGTCCATCCACGTTGTTGCAAATGGGATGATTTTGTCTTTTTTTCTGGCTGAGGAGTACTCCATTGTATATATATACATCTTCTTTACCCAATCATCAGTCGATGGGCACTTGGCTGTTATGAATAGTGCTGCAGTGAACAGAGGGGTGCATACGTTACTTTGGATGGTTGATTTCAAGTTGTTTGGGTAGATACCCAGTAGTGGGATAGCTGGGTCATCGGGTATTTCTATTTTCAGTTTTTTGAGGAATCTCCATACTGTTTTCCATAGTGGCTGCACCAGTTTGCATTCCCACCAGCAGTGTATGAGGGTTCCCTTTTCTTCACACCCTCTCCAACATTTGTTATTTTTAGCCTTAGTGATTATAGCCATTTTAATAGGTGTCAGGTGGTATCTTGGTGTAGTTTTGATTTACATTTATTTCCCTGATGACTAGTGATGTTGAACATCTTTTCATGTGTTTACTGGCCATCTGCATATCTTCTTTGGAAAAACGTTCATATCCTCTGTCCATTTTTTTTTTTTTTTTTAAAGATTTTATTTTTTCCTTTTTCTCCCCAAAGCCCCCCCGGTACATAGTTGTGTATTCTTTGTTGTGGGTTCTTCTAGTTGTGGCATGTGGGACGCTGCCTCAGCGTGGTCTGATGAGCAGTGCCATGTCCACGCCCAGGATTCGAACTAATGAAACACTGGGCCGCCTGCAGCGGAGCACACGAACTTAACCACTCGGCCACGGGGCCAGCCCCTCCTCTGTCCATTTTTGATTGGGCTGTTTGTCTTCTTGTTGTTCAGTTGTGTGAGTTCCTTATATATTACGGAGATTAACCCCTTATTGGATATATGATTGTAAATATTTTCTCCGAATTGGTGGGTTGTCTGTTTGTTTTGATCCTAGTTTCTTTTGTCTTGCAGAAGCTCTTCAGTCTGATGAACTCTCACTTGTTTATTTTTTCCTTTGTTTCCCTAGTCTGAGAAGACATGGTATTCAAAAAGATCCCTTTAAGTTCGATGTCAAAGAGTGCTACCTATATTATCTTCCAGGAGTTTTATGGTTTTAGGACTTATCTTCAAGTCTGTGATCCATTTTGAGTTTATTTTTGTGTATGGCGTGAGATAATGGTCTACTTTCATTCTTTTGCATCTGGCTGTCCAGTTTTCCCAACACCATTTATTGAAGAGACTGTCTTTTCTCCATTGTATGTTCTTAGCACCTTTGTTGAAGATTACCTGTCCACAGATGTGAGGTTTTATTGTGATAGATGTGAGGGCTTTCAGTTCTATTCCATTGATCTGTGTGTCTGTTTTTGTACCAGTGCCATGCTGTTTTGATCACTATGGCTTTGTAGTACATTTTCAAGTCAGGGATTGTGATGCCTCCAGCTTTGTTCTTTTCTCTCAGTATTGCTTTAGCAATTCGGGGTCTTTGGTTGCCCCATATGAATTTTAGGATTCTTTGTTCTATTTCCATGAAGAACGTCATTGGGATTCTGATTGGGACTGCACTGAATCTGCAGATTGCTTTGGGTAGTATGGACATTTTAACTACATTTGTTCTTCCAATCTATGTACATGGAATCTCTTTCCATCTCTTTATGTCATTATCTATTTCTTTCAATAATGTCTTATAGTTTTCATTGTATAAGTCCTTCACCTCCTTAGTTAAATTTATTCCTAGGTATTTTATTCTTTTTGTTGCAATTGTAAATGGAATTGTATTCTTGAGTTCTCTTTCTGCAAGTTCGTTATGAGAGTACAGAAATGCAACTGATTTTTGTAAGTTGATTTTGTACCCCGCAACTTTACTGTAGTTGTTAATTATTTCTAATAGTTTCCCGATGGATTCTTTAGGATTTTGTATATATAAGATCATGTTATCTGCAAACACTGAGAGTTTCACTTCTTCACTCCCTATTTGGATTCCTTTTACTCCTTTCTCTTGCCTAATTGCTCTGCCCAAAACCTCCAGTACTATGTTGAATAAGAGTGGTGATAGTGGGCATCCTTGTCTCATTCCTGTTCTCAGGGGGATGGTGTTCAGTTTTTCCCCATTGAGTATGATGTTGGCTGTGGGCTTGTCATATACGGCCTTTATTATGTTAAGATAATTTCCTTCTATCCCCATTTTGTTATGAGTTTTTATCATAAATGGCTGTTGGATCTTGTCAAATGCTTTCTCTGTATCTATTGAGATGATCATGTGATTTTTACTGCTCATATGGTTAATGTGGTGTATCACACTGATTGATTTACAGATGTTGAACTATCCCTGTGTCCCTGGTATAAATCTCACTTGATCATGATGTATGATCTTTTTGATGTATTGCTGTATTTGGTTTGCAAATATTTTGTTGAGGAGTTTTGCATCTATGTTCATCAGTGATATTGGCCTGTAGTTCTCCTTTT